GCTCGCTTCCTCCCGGCGGCGGCGGCGGGGCGGCCGAGCCTGGGGGCCCAGAGGGGTTATTAACTGGCCTCGAGCCGCCCCATTTGGGGCGAGAGTCCGCGATCGCCGCGTCTCGCGGAGCCAGCCCCAGGCCAGGCGCCGGAATCCCCCCTGCGCGGAGGCGTCCCCGTACCCGGGGTGGTAGCCCCGGGAGCAGGGCGGGTGGGGCGGGGTGGGTGGCCTGAGTGGTGGATTGTACGGGGCGTGGGCGCCCCTTGGGGACAGGCGCCCAGCGGGGACCGCTGCTGTCCCGGACCCTCCGCCGCGGGGACAATGAGAGCCTCGTGGAGACCCAGATGTCGCAATGGGGGAAGTCGACGTCTGGTTCTCATAAATCCCGAGGGCAAGCACCACACCCCCTCCCGCCAGCGCCCCCGGTGCCGGAAATCGCCCCGGGGTTACAGGCTGGGAAGACCTGAGCACGTCCCCACCTCCCCGCTTCATAGTGATGAGGAGGCTGACGCCATCCCGAGAGGTCTTAAGAGTTCACTCGGGGCTGATGGGGGGACACAGCCCTGGCTTGCTCACCCCTGCTCGGTTCCGCAGCCCCAAAACCCAGGGCATACGTTAGGGCAGAGACCAGTTTGGCCAAGAAAGACTTCTACTGGCCTTTCTGGGCACTTGTGGACTGACCCCTGGTGAGCTGGGGCCTCTGGGAGGCTTCCCAGAAGAGGTGGAGGGGCTCCAGCAGGCCTGGAAGGGGTCGGAGAGAAGCAGGAGGACATCAGTGTGAGCAGAAGTGTGCAATGGCGGCTCAGAGACAAACCTAGTGCTTGCTCCTGGGGAGCGGTGGGGGCAGGCGAGCTCCTTCTCTCCTCCTCTCCCTTCTTGCCCCTCTCCCAGGCCCTCAGCCCCCAAAGTCGGTGAGATCAGCTTCTCCCTGCCCTCACTAAACCCTCTGTAGCCCCCTCTGGCAGTTCTCTGGTCTACCATCATCTCCTGGCTAGCTGGGAGTGCCTCCATCTGTTGCCCTCCACCACCCACGGTGACCTCTGACCCTTGTAGAGAGCCCTTTAACCTTTCCCAAAGCCATTTCACGCCTCTAATTTCCCAGGAAGCAGGACAGGCAAAGAAGGGTTTTTATCCCCTTCTGGTGGAGGAAAGGGTGGGCCCAGAGAGGAGCTGTGAGCTGGTGAAGGTGGAGACGGGCCTGGAGCCCCCACCGCCTGCCCGCCAGCCCTGGGCTGCCCTGCGCAGGGGCACGCCTTGTCTGCGGCCTTTGTACCTAGCCCCTTCCCTTCCACACATAGCAGGACCTGGCCAGCGAACACTCACTGAAAGCTTGGGTGTGGACCAGCCATCGACTGGAGCTGCGCGGAGGCCCGGACATCTGGCTGGGAACCAGACCTACGGCTGAGGCTGGGAGGGTGTGGGATTAGGGAGTGGGAGAGAGGGAGGCTCCACACCGGGTGGCCTGGCTGTGGACCCCAGCCTTCCGGGAGATGGAAGAGCCCAGCCCCCACTGGACTAACCTGGTACTGAGCAGTGGGCTGAGCTCTGCTGGTGGGCTGTCATTGGCCAGGGAGGGTCTTGGCGTGTGGAGCCCTGGGCAGGACAATGGTTCTGATCCCCAGGGAGGAGGAAGTGAGGAGGAGCCAGCTGCTTCTTCGAGACTGTGCCCCACAAGGAGGAACTGGTGGGAGACGTGGAAGTGGCTGGGTGGGGTAGTAGGGCATGGGGGAGCATGATTGGCCGAGAACGGCTCTGTCATGAGGATGGGAGCGAGGGTCAAGGAGGACAGGTCCATTTGGGTTCCCTGACGGCAGGAGGCTCTGGTGCCTTGGAGGAAATTCTGATGGGGCAGATGGTGAGGGGTGCTGGTGGTGGGACCCCACAGGCGGGCCCCTGGATGCACAAGCTCTAGAGCGTTCAGGACTAAAACTGAACAGGGATAGCACAGGGCACTCTGGCCTGGTGGACCGCAGGGTGGGAGCTGGGTGTGGAGCCAGCCTCGGGGGCCACCTGGCCAGTGAGGTAATGCCAACCACCACACACCAAGAGGAGCCCCTCAGTCTGGGTAGGAGGGGACCCACATGAGTGGGGCTGGGCTGAGGGCCAGGGGACCCAGAACTTGGGGCTCAGGGGCGTCCCCGTGCAAGGCTGGCACTCAGGGGGCTTGGTGGGCACAGGCTCCACCGTGCCTGGCATGCAGGGGCCCCAGGGAAAGGGGCAGAGTGCATGACTGCAGGGCACACAGAAAGGAAAGCCGGGATTCCCCAGGAGCTGACATCACACATCCAACCGCAGCCTGACAGGTAGTTTTTAAAAAAGGGAATGGATTTCTCTTTTTGATTGGGTTGCTTGTCTGCTTAAGAGAACTCAGACATGGTGGGTTTGGGTCTCAGCAAAGCTCTGAACCCACTCATGGAATTCTTGGGGACGGGAAAAGGGGGAGAGACCTCCCCTGTGCCAGGGGGCCGTGCCCCACGTAGCAGAGCAGCTGAAAGATTCAGTGCCAGCTCCCAGGGGTGTTGCTGCGGCAGCCACCAGCTTCCCGTACCCCCAGAGTTACAGTGAGGGACAACGGTGTGGCTGCAACCATGTGTTTATTCAAGCTGTGCAAAGCTGAGCACGCAAACGCAAATCTAACTTAGGAATATTTGCAGTGGCCCCGAGGTGGCCATGCTAGGTCTGCTTGGCTGAGAAGCACCTGGGCCCCTCAGACTAGTCATTGGGTCTGAAGAGCCCGGGGCACGGTGGCTCCTCCTTGCCTAGAAGCTAAAATATCTCGCTAAAGAAGAAAGCAAAAATCACAGTGGGTCTGGGGGCAGGGAGGGGCTAACAGAAACTATCCTGCCCTCTGGGGCTCCCCCTCTTCTTGGGGTAGGTGTGGCGGTGACAAAGGCAGGCTAGGGGGCTGGACTCAAAGCCTGCTGGCCTGCAAGGAAGGGCCCTCCATCTGTTAGGGGTGGTGGTGGGTCCTAGGGGACCCCTAGGGAGTCCCAGAGCCTGGCCCAGAGAGGTCCAGAGGATGCCAAGGAGATTCCCCACGGCCAGACTCAGGGGGAACCCACTCAGTACCACAGATGGGAGGTCTCTGCTGCCTTGGCTAGAGGTCAGGCTGTGGGCGGGGCCCAGTGGGGGTCAGCAGCCTGAGATGAGGCTGAGGGTCCCCTTCAGCTCAGCCTGCCTGTGCCTTGGGGGCTCCTGGACCTAGGAGGCCTGCTGTGGCTGAGACACTCTTTTAAGGGGGCACAAGTGGACCTGGGACCTCCAGCACTGCAGGGCAGAGGGCAAGGGCAGTTCCCCTGGGGGATTCTCCAGGGATGTCTAAGTCATTAAAAGCAGCTGAACAAGCAGGGGTGGGGATGCAGCCATCACTGTCGTGTGGGGGGGCCCAGGATGTCACTGCCACAAGTCCCCGGCCGCCGCCCCATTGTCATTTTCATGGAACTTGTGCAGGTGATCGGCGAACCTGTGGGCACAGAAACCTTTGCTGAGGCCGAGTATAAAAAGGAGAGAAATGAGTGTGTGTGGGGGGGCATGCACCATGTGACAGGCTTGGTGCTGGGGGCAGTGGGCATGGCAGGGGGCCGGGAACATGAAGAGGAGCACATGGTGCTAGGGGCTCAGTGCAGGGCCGTGGTGGGGCTAGGGTGCGCATCCTTACTTCTTGGCGCAGAAGGTGGCACAGTCCCTCTCCACACTCTCACTCCATGCCAGCTTGTAGAGCACCTGAACAGGCAGAGACACGGTGAGCTGCCTGTTCTGCGTCACAGCCACTCCTGTTGTCCACCTACAGCCCTTGGTTCTGGCCTCCCGGTACATGCAGGTTCACGCGGCCCAGGGCCCAGGGCGGTGGGCCTTAGAGATGCTCCTGTGCCCACCTGTTTCACACATGGTCAGACGGGCCTGGACACGGAGGTACCGTCCCTAACATTGCTGGGCATACTACTGGCAGGGCCAGGAATCTCTGGACCCTGGGGTCTGAGGTGGAGCCCAGGCTAGCCAGGTAGGGGTCACCTTGACTGTGGCCTCGCTGGGGGTGGGGGTCCCTGAGGCTGGAGCCTTCCATAGGTACTCCCTACCCTCTCCTCTCTTCCGACTCAGTGGACACGGAGGCATCACCAGGCCTCTGTGTGTGCTGTGCCCACTAACTGGAATGCCACTCTGCACCTATTCAGTTCAAGATGTCCTTTCTCTGTGCAGCCCACCTGGCTGTCCCTTAGTAGGGTTAGTCCGACCTGCCTTCCATCTGCCTCAGGCTCCCACGGTGGCCCTTCCCTCCACCGAGCCCCTCCCGGACGGGGCCCTGGATGGAGTCGGCCAGGCCTCTTTCACAGAGCGGCTGGGCTGCTGCCCCAGCCAGAGGGCACCAGGAGTGGGCTTGTTGTCCCCAGGGTGGGCTGAGGACCTTGAAGGGGAGAGAAGTGGCCAAGAGCAGACTGTGTGGCTTGGGGTTGGCCCAGGTGCCAGGCCACAGTGACAGGGTCCCTGCTGCTCCAGGATGTCGGAGAAGCATGGTGAACGCATCCCTGGCCGCCCGCCTGGACACTCACCAGGAAGACCAGGCAATGCAGGAACAGTGTGTAGAAGAAGCCAATGGTGCGCGCCATCTTGTTGGAGAGAACCAGACGCCCCTGGGGAGCAAGCAAGGTGTGGAGTGGGGATGGGGCAGGCCTCACCCTCTCCTGCCAGGCTGCCCCGGGCTCCTGCAGAGAGGGCCCCAGGGCAGGAGGGGAAGGTAGGGCGGGCAGCTGGGCTCCCACTCCACTCTATAGGTTGGGAGCTTGGGCCACAGGACTTCTAAGGAATGGCACTCGATTCTAGAACCTACCATGAATGATGCTACCTGTGGAGCTGTCCTGGAGAGGGAGGGACCCTGTTCAGGGTCACATGGCCACTCTTGGCAGGGCCTGAGGGGTCAGTGGGGTCCCTGGGGCTTCTCTAGACTGGGCTGGAAGGCAGGGGACGAGGTGCTCGGAGACAGAGGCTCCAGCCTATCCCAGGTGGGCACAGAGTGGGGGACTCACCATGCTGAGCGTGGCCTTGTCCCAGGGGCTCAGGCTCAGGTACTTCCGTTGCCGCTCCTGAAGGGAGAGGGACGATGAGGAGAGGACCCCAAAGGGCCCACAGTCTCTAGCTCACTGCAGAGAGGGACCCTGCCCTGCTGTCCCTACAGAACCCCAGGGGCTGCCAGGGGCCTCCCTGGTGCCTGGTCCCACTCAGCGTGACAGCCTCGGCTCCCCCAACATCTGTGTGAGCACCCGCAATGAGAGCTGCCTCCTGCCCTCTGCGGTGGCCCATTCTGCCTTTGGGAAAGTCTTCACGGGCAGGGCTTCTGCAGTCTGACAGGTGGAGGAGAGTTAGAGGGTGGTGCCCCCTACAGGTCACCTGACACTGGGAGCTCTTTGCTTGTCTGCCTGCCCCCTGAGAGCGTGCACCCGGGATTAACCCACTCACGGTCGCACACCCTCACGTAGCCATCAGCAGGTGTTCCTGGCACTCTGGGCCTGTCTGGGGTGGACTCTGAGCCTCCGTGGCACCAAAGTGGCTGTGGAGGCTGCCCTGGTGGTCTGGTGCATGTAGGGGTGCAGTGTGGGCGTGCAGGACTGAGGCTGTGCCTGAGCGAACACACCAGGGCTGGTGGGGTGGGGACCGAGGGACAGCTGAGGCTAGGTGAGTGGGTGGGTTCTCCGGGCTTCCCTGTGGCCTGCGCACCGTGGGCCAGCCGAGCATGCCCCTGCCCTGCCCCGCCTGGAGGCCGTCGCACGCACCCGCTTGCTGAAGGAGGAGAAGGGGTCCAGGCGCTCCTCATACTGGGACGAGTACCGCAGCTCTGTGTCGTCGCTGCCGCCGCCCTGCATGGGGGAAGAAGGAGACACCCAGTCACGGGGCCCAATAGGAAGACCAGGGCTGAGGGACCACAGGCTGGCAGGGTCACCGGGAGCCTCAGTTTCCTCATCAGCACAACAGAGGTGGGGGAGGGGCCCTGAGGGACCACGTGAATGTGGCTGGTGCCACGTGTACAGGGCAGTGCCCCCGCGTCGGAGGTCTCCCACCCGGGTCAGGGCCTTGGTGCCTCAGGGCAGGTAGGGAACTAAGGCCCAGAGAGGGGCTGGAACGTACAAGACGGACAGGGCTGGGTCCATGCAGGGCGGTGGGTTTGGAGGGGGTTCTGGGAGTGTGTGGGTGGCTGTGGGGCGCAGGCAGCCACCTGAGACAGGAGAGACCCCCCCAGCCAGCCGCCTGGTGTGTAGTGCTAGTTTGCACAGAGTCTGGGAGCCCTCTGGTGGCCTGAGCATAGCTTCAACTGGTGGAATGGGGGCTAGTGGCTGAGGGTCTTGTCCCAGGGAGGTGCCCACATGAATGTCACTGCTCCTGCCTCCTGCCGTCCAATCTGTCTGCCCACAGTCACAGAAGGGGTTTCCTTGCACAAGGTGGTCCCCTGTGAGGACTGGGGACTGAGAGAAGCCAGGGCCCTCCTTGGCCCAGAATGGAGTACATGGGTTTTCTCTTGATTGGTTTTGGGGTGTTGGACCAAATTCTGGTATGGCTTTTTAAAAAAAATAGAATTTTAAAACATACAGATTCCCCAGGGCCTGTCCTGCATGTTCAAAACCGCTGGGGTTAAATTTCCAGATCCTGGGTCAGCTAGTGGATTATCCCCATTTCACAGAGGGGTCACCCGTCGGCCTGGGGTCTGTGACCCCTGCCTCTTGCAGTACCTCCTCATGTCCTGGCTGGTTCTGATGAATGAACCTCCACAAGGGCTCCACTGTGAGGGGCTCTCCCCAGCTTAGGGAGGACAGGTGGCAGGCAGGGGGGGGCCAGAAGGCCTCTGGGGGCGCCCAGGCCCAGTGCTGCCCAGCAGGGCACTGCCCCTGCCCCTCCGGCCTCAGAGTCCACAGACCAGCTCTCTCCCTGCCCGGCACCCCTGGGGCCGAAGTTGAGGAGGGCACTCACCCGGCCAGGATAGCTCTGCAGGAACTTGATCTTCTCAAACAGCTTGATGTTGTCGGCGCGCAGGCTGTCCAGCTCGCTCTGCAGGGCCTGGATGGTGTGCTGGGCCAGGCGGCTCTCCTGCGGGCAGGCAGCGGGTGGGCAGGTGGGCAGGGCTAGGGTGCACGGGGTGGGGGGAGGCCTGCATGCTGGCACAGGTCAGGGGCTCTGTCTACCTGGAGCCCCTTCTTTGCCCGTGGCCATCTCCTTGACCTACTAGACTCTGCTCAAAGCTGCCAGCTCTGGGAAGTACCCCTTCTCCTCCTGTGACCCCACCCCGGGCAGAAGTCACAGTTCTTGGGTCAGGTTTCTTCAGGTTTTGTTTGTTTATGGGATTATCAGCCTTGAAAAAGTCCTTATTGAGATATAATTCATAGAACATAAGTGTACAATTTACTTGTTTTCTTTAGTATATTCACAATGTTATGTAACTATCGCCACTAATTCCAGAACATCTCTATCACCCCAATAGGAAATCCCAAACCTGTTGGCAGTCACGCCCCTGTCCCTCCTCCCCCAGCCCCTGGCGACCACGGATCTGCTTTCTGTCTCTGTGGATTTGCCTGTTCCGGACATTTCATATAAATGGAATCCTACGCGATGTGATCTGAATGTTTGCCAATCTAGGGGCAAAGTGAAGTGAGATCTTGTTTTTCAATTTATTCAAATGTTTAAAGAGGTGTTTTCTTCACACTGCTAAAAATTCAAACAGGACAAAAAAGGACAGGGTCTTATGGCGGTTCCTCAAAAATTTACGCATAGAATTACCAAATGATCCAGCAATTCCACACCTGGGTATATACCCCAAAGAATGGAAAGCAGGGACTCCAAGAGATATTTGCACACCCATTTTCATAACAGCATTATTCACAGAAGCCAAAAGGTGGAAGCAACCCAAGTGTCCATCGACGGATGAACGGATAAGCAAAATGTGGTCTATACACACAGTGGAGTACCATTCAGCCTTAAAAAGGAAAAAATTCTGACACATGCTACAACATGGATGAACCTGGAGGACATTATGCTGAGTGAAACAAGCTAGTTACAAAAAGATAAATACTGCATGATTCTACTTATATGAGGTCCCTAGAGTAGTCAAATTCAGAGACAGAAAGTAGAAGGGTGGTTACCAGGGGTTGAGGGGGAGGGGGAATGGGGAGTTAGTGCTCAATGGGGACAGAGTTTCAATTTGGGAAGATGAAAAAGTTCTGGAAATGGATGGTTGTGATGGTTGCATAACAATGTGAATATACTTAATGCCACTGAACTGTATGCTTAAAAATGGTTAAGATGGTAAATTTTATGTTATGTATGTTTTAGCACAATTTGTAAAAAGTACATGGTAAAAAGCCTAGATTTTTAAAGCAAAAGGTAGAATATACCTATAAACACTTGCCTTTTCTCCTCCACTTAAGCTATTTTGAAGGCCTTCTTTTAAGGGCTGTGTAGCCTGCCACAGCGTGGTTGTCCCTGGTCCCCGAGGGGCACGTGGGCATTCCCATTCCACTGCTCGTGCAGCCAGCTGTGAAGGGAGCAGCCTTGCTGGTCCCTCATTTGAAGCCTCTTGCTCCGGAGCCCAGATCACAGAGGGTCCCATTGAATCTGTCCCACTCTTGTCACTGGGCCAGCACTGAGCCTGGCCCACAGTGGGCACTCAGGAGATGTCTACCTCCCCTGGCCTGAGCCTGGAGACTCCATAGGAGGAACTGTGGGTTTGGAGAGGAAGGGCCTAGAAATTCCATCATCACTCAAGCAGTGACACTGTGAGAAAGATGGGAACCTCCTTGGCTCCTGCTCCCACTGTGAGAACCTTCAGGGGGACCTGGGCTGGCTCTGTGGGATGGGGGATCTGCTGAGTCCCCAAGGCTAGGATGGTGCCACCTCTAGCTGCTGCCCTGGTCGTCACCGGGCCCTCTGTACTCTGGATCCAGCGTCCACTCGCTCCATGGGGACGCCCTGGTCTCAGCCTCGGCCTTTGTGTCCTGGACACCCCATGCTCCTGCTTTGCTCCCTCCTCCCCATCCCCTCTTGTCTTCTGTTCCTCTCTCTTCCGGGGACCACAGCCATCTGCTGGCGCTGCAGTCACCATCCGAGTGTCAACAACGCCCATGTGGAGGCCCATCTTAAAGGCCCAGATGCAACTGGACGGGTCACCTTTGCAGACTGCCCTTCCTCACGGTGCCCCTCCAGGAGGCCCACCAGCCGGGGGCTCAGCAGCCAGTGGGCTCGCTCCAACCCCCCAGAGCTCCTGGACATCTCTAGACTGTTCATCTTTTTGGGCTAAAGACTCTCCTCTCTCCCACCTGCTCCTGCTTCTCCATTCCCACCTGATTTAGATGTTTCTTCCTGGACGATGGTGACCCCTCCCTAGTTGTCTTCCTGGGCCAGCCTTCTGTCCTGAATTGGCTGCCCCACTGACCTTTATTACTCTCCATCCTGGCAGTGTCCGTCCCCTGCTTAAATCTTTTGGCAGCACCCCAGCCTGGGGTGCTTGCCTGGTTTTGTTCCTGCAGGCCTGGAACGACCCACACTCCCTTCGGTGCCCTGTCTCTGCTCACGGAGTCTCCTTTGAGTGTATGATTTTTTTCAAAGGCCAGCTTGGCATGACCTCCACCAGGAAGCCCCCCTTGACTGCACAGAACAAATCTAATCCCACTGCAGTTCATGGTCTGTGACACATATCTCTCCCCTAAGCCTGTGTGTCCCCCACTGTGTCCTCAGGTCCAAGGAGTGTAGGGTAGGGAAAGACATGACTCACAGCCTCCAGCTCCTGGTTCCGGGTACGGAAGCGCTCCCGCTGGCTGGAGATGATGGAGAGCAGCGAATCTACCTGGCCCTCAGGGAGGGAGCCACTGGCTGGTGCAGAGGGTCCTAGGAGGCAGGAGAGAGTGGCTTGGGGTGGTAGGAGGCAGAGCCCAGCCCTGGGCCCTCAGGTCGAGTGGCCCAGCCCCAAGGGAGCTCTGGGGTGCCATGGGGTGGAAGGCACAAGGTGTTTGAGCACAAGGTGCTGTGAGGTCGGGGAAGGGGGAGGGGCGGCCAAGGGAGCAGGGAGGGGTGTGACATGAGAACAGGGGCCCTGGGAGGGGAGGGCCCAGGCAGGCTCCCCGCCTGCACTGTCTGAGGGCCAGCCCCAAAGCCCCCTCCCCATAACTCTAGACTTGGATCTGAGACCCCTGCATCCGTCAGACTGGGCCCCCAGTTCCTGGGGAAGCAAAGGGCACTGGGAGGCCATGGGCACCCCACCCCCATCATGTCTTGGCCCAGCAGCCCCAGTTCCGGCCCAAGGAGGCCCCCTCCCTCCAGCGCTGGGAGCTCCCTGGCTGCGTCTCAGCGTCGAGGCCTCCTCAAGGAGCGGACCACCACCCACCAGCCTTTGACAGGCCACTGGCAGGGCCGAGGCAGTCAGGGTCCCTAGGTGGGGGTGTCAGGCTAAGGTCTAGAAGGGCAAGTTGGGGGATCACTCCCTCTTTTTGGTTGCTGCTGCATTCTCGGGGTGGAGGGACCTTGACCTTCTTTGAGGGAGGGGAGTGCTCTTTAGGGCTCAGGGCTCGGGCCGCACCACCTCTTCCCTCTTCCCTCTCCCACCCTGCCCATCGTGGTCAGGTCGGCCCCTCCTCACCATAGAATAGGGCGGTGGCCTCCTTGATGGGCTCTGGGATCTTCTCCAGGCCGCGCTCAGCTGCACCCTGCAAGGAAGAGGGAGAGTGAATGGCGCTGCCACACGCAGCATTGAACACACCCTTTCAGGGTGCCAAGCAGATGGGGGGCTGGGAGCAGGTGGGCTGGTCTGGTGGCAGGGGCCAGCAGTGGGCACAGCAGTGGCCACAGGAGGGCCTGGAGAGGACGTCTCGCATAGGTCATCAAGGAGAAGGCTGGGCCCCGAGGTCACCCTGAGGCCAGAGCTCAGCGAGGGGCTCCCACCTGTCACTTGGCCCCGACGGGCATCAGAGGTGGGGTGACCCCAGCCCTGCAGCCAGCCTGCCACGTGACCTGGGCCAGCCCAGCTTCTCTGCTGGAGCCCCATTTCTTCATCTGCATAACGAGGTGGGTGATGTGATGACTTCAGGGCCCCTTTGGCTCCAGCCTTCTACGATCTCAGGGCCTCAGGTCCCCTAGCTGTGAGATGGTGGAGAATCCAGGCCTTGCTTCTGCCCTCAGCTCCCAGGGCAGGGGTCCAAGCCGGGGCCTGGAAGCTTTGTGCCAGCTCGAGGAAGCCTGCCCCTCTGCCCTGTGGCCTGGCATCCCAAATTGGGCCTTCGTGGTGAAGTGAGCAGGCCAAACCCAGAAGGTGTGGGTGACAGCCCCTGTGGGCCTCGGGGCGGGGCGGGACACCAGTTGCCTGAGGAATGGGCTGTTTACCTGGGAAGTCGGCATTTTGTGAGGCTGAAAGAGCCCTGGGCAGGTGGTGAGGGGGCAGGGGGAAGGGGGTGGGCTCACCTCGGCGTCCGGCCGCTGGATGGACTGGATGGTGCTGAGGTCCTGCTCCAGGCGGGCGATCAGGTCCCTCTGCTCAGCTGCCGTGGTCATGGCCTCGGTGACGTGGACCTGCAGCTCTGCACAGCGCCCTGAGCCGAAAGGAAGATGTGGCCATCAGTGGGAGCCCGGTGGAACCCACGGTGCCTTCCCCACCCCGCCTCTCCAACCCACAGCCTGCGCCACTGCCTAAGGGCCACTGTTAGAACAGCCAGCAGGGGCAGGGGCACTCCTGGCCCTAAGAACTCACTGTGCTCGTGAAATTCCTTGGGTAGGGGACGGAGCCCAGGTCAGGGATCTAGGAGACATCGGTACACCCTGGCTCTGCCATGAGCAGCTGGGTGAGCCTGGCCGACCCCTTCCCTCTCCAGGCTCCACCTTGCCCCTCTCAAGCAGGGCAAGGGATTGAACCCAAAGAGCCCCAAGTTCCTTCCAGGGCTGATGCCCTGGGAAGACAACCAGAGGGAGGCCTCGGGGTAGGAGTGGCGGAGAGGGGGGGGGGGGGGGGGGGGGGGGGGGCAGGCCTCCTTCAGACCCAGCAGAGAGAGGGTGAGGGAGTGGGGGTTCCACTTGTGGAGCAGACCCCAGCCTTGCTTGGCCCCTCCCCCAACAGGCTCCAGGGCAGTGGTGGGGATGGGGTGGCCCCCAGGAACCCCCTGACCAACAGCCCTGACCTCTCCCCCATCCAAGTGCCAGGTATCGTCTTTACAACAAAGAAAATCCAAAATAATTCTGTGTGGAAACTTTTCTGCCCCTTTGGGGGTGGGAGACGTTGGGAAGTTCCCCAGCCCAGGCCCCTCAAACCCGAGTTTGAGGTCTGGCCCTACCTCTGGTGGGCTGTGTGACTCTGGGCAGCCGACTTGCCCTGCCTGGGCCTCATTTGTAAAATGGTGACAAGAAACCTTGCTCAGGGCCACAGAGCGGGCGGCCAAGGCCTGAGGCTCTGGGTGCTGTTCTTTGGGGTAGACTGCATGGCCACCAGGGGGCACTGTGGCCTCAGAAATGCCCAGACCCCAAGCTGTGGGCAGAGCCAGTGGAATGGTCCCTGTACCCTCCCAGGTGGACTCGCCCCTCACCATGCGGCCTGCTGGCCAGCGGCCATCCTGGCCCTGGCTGGGCTTAGAGCCCTGGGTCAGGGTGGGGCAGCCGGCCTCACCCCCACCTGCTCCATCCCCTGGGTGCCCACTGCACGCCAGTCTCTTTACACACCTCACAACAGTCTGATCAGTCAGAAAAGATGACCCTCATTTTACAGATGAAGAACTGGGGCTTCCCGGCCTGGGATCAAACCCAAGGGTGTCCCTCCCTAGCCATGGCTAAGCCCTTCCTCACACCAGGGTGTCCACTTGTTCAGGTCCTGAACGGATTTCTTCCTTCACACATCACTGAGCCCCCTCTATACCTGGCAGGCAGGCAGTGTTGGCGCAACTGAGGGGTCCGAGGTGGGGCTGGGGGAAGGGGCTGGACCTGAGGGCAGGGCCAGGTCATGGAGGGACAACTATGGGTGGCAGGGTTGGGGTCTGGCCTTCAGCTGGGAGGCCCTGGGTGGCCTACAAGGGCTTTAAGCAGACCCTGTGGGGGAGAGACCCAGAGGGCCCCCAAATGCCATGACCCACTGGCCTGGGGGCGGGGTCCTTGGTCCCCGACCTGTGGGATGGGACTGAAGAGCAGGGTCACCTTGCTGCACCACACCGGCTTAGGAGGGGAGGTGGACAGAAGTCGTGGTGAGATGTGGGGAGAGGGACCTTGGGAGGGGACAAGTTCAGTTCTGGGCACTGGATGTCCATAGGGACACCCACAAACAGGAACATGTCCAAAAATGGTGCTGGGACTGATCCTGTGGGGGTGGGTAGACACACCCCTGCAAGGGTGCGGAGCCCAGAGAAGGCTCAGGTGAGTAGCATCCCACCTCGAGGGATGAGGGCCCCAGGACGGATGGGACAGGGTGGAGGTGGGGAACCTATGGAGAGGGGGACTGCTGTCCAGCCAGAGTGAGCCCTCGTCCCTGGAGGTGTGCATGCAGCCTGGTGAGGAAGGGACCCACGCACGGCAAGAGGGCTGGATAAAATGCCAGCTAGATGACTCCCTGGACTGCTTGTTTTATCTGCCACCAGCCCGTGGCGATCCAGCCCCTAAGGTGGGAGCAACTTGTAGCTCCCGGAGCCATCTGTGGACACAGGGGCGACAGGAGGATGCCGAGCCCGGGTTTCCTGTGCCTGTGGGGGTGGCACACAGGTCCCTGCCCAAGCACGCGTGACGCTCTGTGCATACACGGGCCCTGACAGCAAACCCTCCGTCCTAGGCTGCCCCAGCCAGCTGGTGCCGGGCCACTTGGTTAAGCTGGCCTGGAGGGCCTGCCACTGCCACTGCTGCAGATGCTCCCAGACACTGGGTTAGCTGCTGAGGGGATCTCTGGGGGTACAAGGCTGAGTTTGGGGGTGGCCGTCCCTGAAGAGGTGGCTCTGGGTGAAATGGAGGGCTGGCTGGCGGGCACTGGCAGCAGACATGGGGGATGGCTGCTCCTGAGGCACAGGGAGGAGGCTGGGCAAGGTGCGGCAGTGGAGGGGATGGGGTAAGGCTGAAGGAAGACCTGGGGCAGGGGCGGGGAACCTGAGGCGACAGGGGCAAGGCCTGGACGCTGCCCAGGAGCCCAGCTGGATCCCAGTGGTGAACCATCACTCCAGGCTGGAGGGATGAGAAGGCCAGGAGACCGACAGTGTGGACATCCCCAAGGGAGGGGCTTCAGTTACCAAGCCCGCTCTGAGACATGGACCTGGAGCCACTTAAATCTGCCACGTGAGAGTACCCTGGCTGCCACCCCCTACTTTCCTCTGCCTCCTCTGCTGGGGGAAGGAACACACAGACCAAGAAATTAAGGTCATGTCTCCGGTGGCCGCTTGGTGCCCTAAGCTGGAGTGTGGCAGAACTGAGCTTGAATTCGGGGCCTGGGGCAAGGCAGTGGAAGGTACTAGAGAGAGTTGTGAACCCACTGTTGTACAGAACCCAGGAGGGGAGACCTGCACCTGGAACTGGCCCCCTAAACGGGAAAGGGGAGAGCAGCAGCGTGGTTTGCTCTGGTGAGCAGGAAGGGCTAGTGGAACAGCTAAGAGGACGTGCGTGTGGAGGAATGCACCCACAGGCCTGAGGCTGGAGGTGTAGGCTGGGGAGAGCTCGGGGGCCTGGGGTGGCTGAGTCCCTCAGCAGCAGACACAGAAGCCCAGACAGCACTGCAGTGAGAATGGCCAGAACCTCCTGGAACACTGACATTTTCAGGGGTGTCCTGCAGGAAGCAGGGGGAGATCAGGAGGAAGTGTGTTAAGGCACCAAGTTGAATAGGAACCGTCGATGAGCAGGGAGGAGCCACTGGTCAAGGAAGGCTGAGCAAGGTGCGGGCTAGAGCGAATCCACTGGTGAGAGTTTGGTCAGGGCAGTGGAGGGGCAGGGAGCAGCAGGGGTATGGGGAGGGACCTGGGGACCACTCTGGACAGATGCCAGATGGGGCAGAGCGATGGGCAGCCCTGGTGTGGGATGTGCTCAAGAAACAGGGTCTCCAGGAGCACAGAGCATGCAGAATGGAGCGTCTGCAGCTGGGAAAAGCTGGTGGAGAGAGAGAGGCCATCTAGGAGAGGAAGGGGTGACGGCCGGATGAGCGCCAGCGCGTGGAGAGAGAAACCCTTGCCTCTGAAAGGTGGCCCATGTGAGAAGGTTCAAGTCAGCGTCCCCCCCCCCCCCCCGCCCCACGCCTTATGAAGGTTTATGGGACCTCCACCTTCTGGGAGAATCTGGGAAGGCTCTGAGAGGGTGTATTTCACAGAGGGGAGAAAGAAATCAAAGCACTATCAAGGCTGAGACCTAAGGAGACTGGACTCCATGAGGTATGGTCAAGGCATGATTTCCCACTGCGGGTTGGTGAAATGTGGAAATGTCACAATTGATGTCGGATGGCCAGGCCTGGGGGTGTCTGACCCACGGCTTTCCTGAAGGCGGGGTCCCTTCGGTATTCAATCAGCCACCTGCAAGCCAGGTCTCTGCTTGGAGGGCTCTGCGGGGAGCTGAGCTGCCCACACATCCACCTCTCCTTGCCTCTGCACCTATATGTCCCCACAGGTAGCCAGAGGGAAGTGCTGAGTGCTCCCCGTGCCTGCGGGGGCCAGCCCCTCGCTCCTGTGCAAGGGCGCCCTCTCCTGCAGCCTCAGCCCTGCTTCCTTTCCACGGGCATCCAAGCGCGTTATTCTCCCCTCTGACACACACACACACACACACACACACACACACTCTTGACTCCACTGCCCTCCAGCAGAACCCCCTGAAGAAGTTGTTTCTTCTCAAGTGTCCACGTCTTAAACTCTTCCAGTCAAACTTGGATGCCCACCCTGCCCACTGTCCTTTCCCAGGTCACTGATGACCTTGCATATCGCTATCTCCTCAGCCCTCATCTGACTGACTCATCAGCACCTGGTTTCCAGGTCGATGCACCCTCCTGGGCCTCCTTCCCCGAGAGCTGCCCTTTCTCAGTTTCCTTTGCTGGGTCTCCTCCTCATGAAGCTGTGGACACTGCCGCCCCTGGGGGCGCCGCCCAGCATGCCTTCTTCTCTGTCACTCTGGCCACCTTGAGAGCCACTGACAAGCCAGTGACTCTCTGCGTGTATCTGCAGTCCACAGCTCTCCCTGTGCTTGTCACGTGGATGTCCACACTTAACAGGTCCAAACAGAAGCCTGACCTGCCCCGCCCCGGCCTGCTCCCCCAGCAGGCCCCCTGTGGCACAGCCCCAGAGGTGGCGTCCTCAGGGATGAGAGGAGCAGAGGCAGAGCCATCCTTCAGTGGCTCACACCAAACCCTGGGGCCGTCCTCACTCCTCACTCTCACTCCTGACATCTGATCTGTCTCAAATCCTACTTTTGGCTCTCCCTTCAGAATATATCCAGAATCCAATCACTTTCCACCACTGCCCCCTCCCCGGTCGGAGTCACAACCTCTCATCTGGATTGTGGCAGTGGCCTCCTCATTGGCCTTCCTTCTGCCACCCTCACCCCTTTCATATAGTCCTGAAGCAGCCCTGAAGCAGCAGCCAGAGAGCCTTTTTTTTTTTTT